TCAAGTTGTTAAGCTAATTATTTTCATATAGTTTATGTTGTCGTAGCTTGTATATTAATAAGTTAATTATTTTCAGAATAACTCATGTCATATTATTCACTTTAATTTATAGATATTGTCATGCTACTCATGTTGAACTATTGCGTAATAATATGGTGTTTGTTATGTTAACTCGATAAATAATTGCTTAGCAGTACATTAGTTAGACTAAATAAAATCAGAATGAAACGATTGTTTTACATTGGGTTTGGAAAATAAAATTTTAAATTCATGAGTGAAACGAATCATATAATGTCATCCATCTCAAAAATTATGTGTTTGATTTTTATTGGAGAGTTTGTAAAGCTAGAAAAGGTATAACTCATGAAAATACTCTATAAATTTTAATTACAAATGCAAGGGCAATCAAATTATGAACTTACAATATTTTTTCTTAATATTTGATAGAAATGAAAATGTTTCTAAAAGGCAATGGTTAGACTCATGATAGTTTTAGCTCTCACCCTCGTGCATGTGAAGATATCACTATCCACTCTGGTTATCCTAAAAGCATAATCCTGAAACCCTAGGTGGTCGGAGGAGCACAATGTTGTGCTTGTCGAGCTTATTTCTGAGTAATTCGTACATGATAATATATGTAACGATAACTTAAAAAAGGAGCAATGGTTAAATCTTATTGTTGTGTTGAACGAAGATTTGGGTATATATTACACTGAATCTTCTATAATAATTAGATTCAAAAATATGAAATTTGACTTTCGAACACTTTATCAATTATAAATCGTAGTGGTTGAGGTTGAGTTACACATACTAATTGCCACTGAGAAGTTGTTGGATGAAATTGATTAGATAATGATTTTCTTCTGTAATTTTACTTATGATTAATTTCACATCAGGCCGAACAACTATGCATTTTCTTACGCGGTGTAGCACACGTATATAATCATCAATAATTATGTGAGTTTTTTCAGCATTTATTAAAAACTGTAAGCATGTACTTCAATCAGGTACTACAGCCTATTATATATTTATCGAACGAATTTATAAGTTTATCTCCAATAGATGTTGATTATCATCCATTCGTGCATGCAAATGAATATATTTACCCATTCTTCAAAAATGCAGTTAGAGCGATAGATGATATATATATTTCAGCAGTTATCAGTAAAAATTTACAAAATTATTATCGTAATAATAAGGGATTTACTTCACAGAATATAAAAATTGCGGTGTCATTTGATCAATAATTCATATATGTAGCAACCTCTAAATATGAGGGATCTGCTACGGGCATGCATGCATTTAGATGGGTTGTGGAATGATAATAATTTAAAGCATCCCGTAATATATATTACTTAGTTCATTCTGGTTATGCAAATACCAATAAATTTATTGCACCATTTTGTGGATATTTATATCACTTAGCCAATTGTTATGAAAGTATGCATAAACGATACGATGTTAAGCAAAAATTATTTAATCACCGACACGCACAAATACGTAATATGGTTGAACAAACTTTTGGGGTTTTGAAGGAATGTTCTCAGGTTTTGACGCACATGCGACAGTTTCCATTGAGTATTCAAGCAGATATAGTCATTACATGCGTCATTTTGCATAACTTTATTGGTTGATATCATGGACATGATCTCTCTACTTCAATATATCACAGGCGAAAATGCAGCATGAAGCTAAAGGTGGGAAAGTTGATATGTCATATGAGGATCTCAATTTACATGCGACAATAAGAGAAAGAATTCAGGATTAAGCTATAAGGCATAATATAATATGAATTTATGAAATACTTTGATAAGAATTTTAGTTTGTGTTTTATATCTCTAACTATATTACATTTTTTAATAATTTCTTTATTTTAAATTGCAAATTAAAAAAATTAATCGTCCTGAAAAAATTTATCTCTACATGTAATATATATGAAGTCAACTAAAAATTTAAACCTTTCTCTTATAAGATGAAGTATTAAATAAGTGAATGCTTTAAATTTTCAGTTGACTTTATATATATTACATTTGAATATAAATTTTTTCACGATCAATTTTTTAAATTTATAATTTAAAAAAAAAATAAAGAAATTATTATAAAATCTAATATAGTTAGAGATATAAAACACAAATCAAAATTTTATCCGAGCATTCCATAAATTAATGACGATATTGTGCTTTATAGCTTCACCTTTAATTCTTTCTCCTATTATCACGTGTAAATTGAGATCCTCATTAAATATATTAACTTCTCCACCTTGAGTATCATGCTGGATTTTCATCTGTGACATATTAAAATAGAGATCATGTCTGTGGTATAGGCCAATAAAGTTGTGCAAAACGACACAAGTATTGATTATATTTGCTTGAACACTAAATAGAAATTGTTGCATGTGCATCAAAACTTAAAAATGTTCCTTTCAAATCTTAAAAGTTTGCTCAACCACATTGTGTAGTTGTACGTGTCGGTGGTTAAATAACTCTTGTTTAACAGCATATTACCTATATATACTTCTACAATAATTGGCTAAGTGATATCGATATTCGCAAAATGATGCAATCAATTTATCAGTATTTGAATAACCAAAATCATCTAAGTAATATCTACTACGGGGTATTTCAAACTATCATTGTTCCATTACCCATCTAAGCACACGCATGTCCGCAACAGATTTCTCCAATCCAGAGACTACATATACGAACTGTCAATCAAAGAACACTGCAACCATTACATTTTATAAAGTAAATCTTTTACTATTAAGATAAAGATTTTATAAATTTTTACTAACTGTTGAAATATATGTATCATATATCGCTCAAACTGTATTTCTAAATAATGACTAAAATTGTTCATTTATACGCACAAATGGATGACAACTTATAAGTTTGTCCACCAAAGACACAACATTTTGTAGTACCTAACTGAAATACATACTCACAACTTCTAAGGAATGCTAGAAAAACTAACATAATTGTCGATAGCTATGCGTATGTGCTACACCATGTAAAAAAATGTCTAACTATTTTGTTAGATGTGAAATTAATCATAAGCAAAATTACAAAAAAAATCATTACCTACCAATTTTATCTCACAACTCTTCAATGGTAATTGATATGTATAACTGAACTCCAACCACTCTGATTTGTTCATTGATAAAGCATTAGGAAGTCAGTTTTTATATTTTTGAATCTGATTATTATACAAGATTTAGTGTAATATATATACAAACATTTGTTTAACATAACAACAAGATTTGACCACTACTCCCTCCTTAAGTTACTGTTATGTACAATATTGTGTATGAATTGCTCAAACAGAAGCTCGGCAAGAACAACGTTGTGCTCCTTCGATTACCTAAGATTTTGATATGTGCTTTTAAGATGGCCAGAATGAATAGAGATATCGTCGCCTATATAAGGTAAAGAGTTAAAGCTATCATGCATCAAATCATTATCATTTAGAAAGCTCTTCATTTCTATTAAATATTAAGAAAATATATTTTAAATTTATAATTTGATTGTTCTTGCATTTGTAATTAAATTTTATAGAGTATTTTCATAAGTAATATCATTTTTAACTTCACAAACTCTCCAATAAAGATCAAACGTATAACTTTTGAGATAGATGACATTAGAAGACTCGTTGCTAACGGATTCAAAAATTTTTTGTCAAACCAAATTTAAAATGCTAGCTTCATTCTGATTTTATTTTGTCTAATCACCGTACTATCAAATAATTATTTATTATGTTAACATAATAAATAAGATATTATTATGCAATAATACAACTTGAGTAACATGATAATATTTATAAATTAAAGTAAATAATATAACATGAATTATTCTAAAAATAATTAACTTATCAACATATAAGCTACAATGACATAAACTATCTGAAAATAATTAGCTTAACAACTTGAGGTAAGTTGAAAACTGAACAGTAGTAATTTTTAAGCATAATAATATATACATCGACTAATGTATATTTATAAAATTAAAAATTAAGATAGCACATACATGCTTACATAACGAAAAAGAAGAAAAAAAAAAGCACACAAATCGGTCTTCTATGGGCAGACGCGAGTAATCCAAAGCCGGAGAAATAACCTACCTATGTCGTATGTGCCGAAGAAGCTAAGCAGTAATCCGAAGAAGAAGAGGACTGGGAGAGGTTTAAGGGTGTCAATATTTGACACTACACGAAACCCGACTCGAACCCGACCCAGAAATTTTCGGTTGACCCAACAGGTTTCGTTTAAAATGAGCGACCCGCACCTGCCCCGGCTGCCCGCGAACCTGCCTTGGTTGCCTACGCACTGCCCGCGGCTGCTCGAGCAGCTGCCTGCGTAACCGCGCCTACTAAGGCCGCTCGCGCCTGTCAGCCCTCAGCCCGTTTGTCCGAGGCTTCCCGCGCACCTGTTTGGCTGGATTTAGCTTAAATCCGACTTAAATCCAACTATAAATTCGATACCAAACAGCCACTAAAAAACGAGAAATTATTCTGTGCGGAATCCGGTTATAGAGCTGTGTTCGGATGCCAGTAAAATCATTACACGTGGCGTGCTTACGTGGAAAGTTAAGATATTCATTTGACTTCTTACCCAACCAGTTTGTCTTTTCGGACTAACTGCAGACGAAGAGAAATCCGCAATAAATAAGCAGTAAATAAGCAGAAAATGCGCAACATATACACAACAAATATTCAATGAATATGCAACAAATACACAATAAAATACCCGATCAATACGCACATTTTAAGCAACGAATACGCAATAAATACTCAATCAATACGCAAGTCAAATAAATATCGAAGACTTTTAACTTTCCACGTAAGCATCCGAACACAGCTCTATAACCGGATTTCGCACAGAATAATTTCTCCTAAAAAACATCGACTTCGAAAAGCCAAACAAATGTCACTTTGTACGACGATTGACACCACAAGGGGAAAAACATTATAAGGAGTCTCTTAAGAGAGAAGACATAATAATTCCCAACCTGTAACAAAATACGAACGCCGGAAGTCATCCTTAATGGCTTCAACTACTCGACCGCGATCTAGAATCCCCAACTCATCGTCACTAACTTTGGAAAGCTCTTCCTGCAGCGGAGTGGGACGGAAGAAGGACGCGGCGATACCCAATAGCTCCGATCCATACCAGGCAACGCGAAGCACCGCGTTCTCCGATTTGGAGCCTCCATCGCCGGGTGACGAGCTAGGTTTCTGCCACTGGCTACGGAACACACAGTTTGCCGGAAGTGGTGCCTTTAGCCGGCTGTTAGTGCTCAGATATGAGGGCTTGAAGAGAAGAAAAGTCGAGGAGCAGAGGGAGGAAGCCATTGTCGCATATTGATAACTTCATATGTGTGGTACAGATTGTGAAGGTTATGTAGCAAGTCCAGTTGCTGTCAGTAAATGTATTATTAGGATTTTATTTGGTCCGGTTACCTGACCTGACCTTTAGGTTCGGACGTCAGTAAAATAGTGTCACGTATTCTTATTATTTATCGTGCGGTCCGACAACCCCAACCCAGAACATAGACGTGATTGTTATGTTCGCGTGTTGTTAGGTATTGCTCGGTATTGGTCGATTTTGCTCGGGAATAACAAGAAATACCATTCCTGTGAAGACCAATGCCAAGCAATACGGAGCAATACCGAATAATACCGAGCAATACCGAGCAATATCGAGTTTTGCTCGATATTGGTCTTTACAAAGCGATATTTTTCATTATTGTCAAGCAATACCTAGCAATACCTAGCAATATCTAGCAATATCGAGCAATACCTAGAGCAATATCGAGCAATACACGAACATAGCAATCCCGGGTCAAGCCGTCGGGCCGCGCGGTATTGAGTAAGACCGCGTAGCGATATGTTATTGACGTCCGAACGTAGAGCTACGTCAGGTCACCTGACCTAATAATTGTTCGTAGTATTAGTTTATGACTGTTGTGATTAAAAAAAAAAGTTTATTACTGTTGTGATAAAGAGAAACTCTTAAGGCCAAAATTTAATTAGGACTATAGATTGTTAAATTAAACAGAAAAAAACGTAAATTAAATTAAATTCATAAAAGATATAATTTGTTAAATCATTTTACATTTTCTGTAAAAATTAAAAATAAATCCTGATTTAAAAATAAAAACCTAAAATCATTTTGAATTTCTTAAGAAAATTAGAAATTATTTTGAATTTTTTCAAAAAAATCTGAAATTATTTTACGTTTTCTTAAAAAGACCCAAAAGTCAAAATTATTAAGCTTTTAGATGATTTTTTTATTATTTCTTAAAATAATTTTGTAGTACAACTAAAAAATTAAGGAAACCTAGGTCTTTAAAAATGAAAAATGATTTTACTTTTTTACTTTTAAAACATTTTTTATTATATATAATAAAATATTTGGTATAATTGTGTAATGTCTTAATTACTTAGAAGATATTCTTATATATATATATATATCAAATTTACTTTATATTAAAAGATGAAATTAAAAATATATTTAATTTAAATTAATGAATTAAAATTAAATTGCATCTTCTTAAGAAAATCATAAATTATTTTGAGTTTTTTAAGAAAAGCACAAATTATTTTAGGTTTTCTCAAGAAAATGCAAAACAATTTCAAGTTTTTGGAGAAAACCCCAAATGATTTTTGTTTTCTAGAAAAACTCAAAATGAATTTGTCTTCTCGTCGAGCCATTCGATTCGAATATAAGGTCGTTAAAATCGAGACCTTCCAACAGCACTTCGAGTCTTCGATTTAGACTCATTTTGGCTCGGATCGAGTTGAATTTGTGTTCGTTGGGTTAGTATTTCCGAGACGCTCAGTTCGACTGTAAGTTTCTGCAAATCAGAGTTTTGGATGGTCTCTGAATTAATTTTAGAAGTTCCACATTGATTTTTGCCTCGACATTCATGCCCGATCAAGATAATTTCATGATGACATATCAAAATTAAATTCATAAAAGAGATAACAATCTGCTGAATTTGATTTAAAAAAAATTCATTTTGTGCTTGTGTGCGGAGGAGTCGAGCTACTCGATAAGCGTGAATTTAAACGAGCTCAATTCGAACACGAGTCGAACTCGAACATCTGTGCTATAAACGAGCTCAAGTTCAAACAACGTCAAGAAGCACGACGAGTTTTGATCCGAACTTGAGCACAGTTTTGGCAAACGAGCTTGAACTTGAGCCGTTGAAGCTCAGCTTGGCTCGGTTCGTTTGTAGCCCTACTTGATTGAGTGAGCCAAGTAAGTGGGCTAACAACTATGTGATTCAATCACTAATAGGGTCGTCGATCATGTCACATCACAATCCTTTTAAATAATCACGTAGGTACAACTCTTATTGAGTTAGAATTCTATATTTGTTAACTCTTCTTAATCTTAAAAAACATGCGAAAATTTATAAAAGCTTCTAGCTATGTGGATAACTATAGTCCATGTATTTTTACAATGGATGATAAGTGAAATAAATCCTAGTAGTTAGCATATTATATTTCATGTTAATATTTGTGGTTCATAGAGCCTATATTAAAGAGGAGATATATCACATTTGTCATATCCTAACCTTAAGAGCTAATAAGAATTCTTTGAGCTATCTTCGTTGCTTAAGTTATTATAATAAGTTAGGATGAAGACTAATGGGATTGAAAAATTCTTAAGAGATACAAATAAGGAGTGCTAGATTTATAATACCATGACAAAAACATCTAAGAATCATAGGAAACAAAAACAACATTATGCATTTGATCCAATTAAATCATTAATTATAATAATAGTAGTTCTTAAGAGGGTAAAATAGGGCATAATCAAGCATAATATACTAATAGATAGATACACATCAACCCAAAAATTAAACTAATGGTAGGAGCCCTATTTGTATATTAGAAACTTTTTTTTTGTTTTATTTTGATGTGACACTAATCTCCACTCATGTGGGACTAAAGATCAAATTAGTCTAGTTATTGAATTTAATTTGCAATATGATATACTATTATTTATATATATATATTTAATATAATATATATATATAATATATATATATATATATATATTATATATATATAAAGAAAATAGGTCATGAGGTATAATATTAATAGTAATTTCTTAATGTTGGCTAGACATCAGACACATAAAATATTTTTTGTGCAATCATTTGACCTATAGCAAATTTGCAACCTCAAATTAAATAATAATAATAATAATAATAAAATTAGCTACTATTGAAACTATCGAATGTGTCAAAATTCAATAGCTAGATTCATCATGAAGAAAATAACCATGCATGTTCATGAAATATTTTCTCAATTTAGAAGATGAAAAAGGCCATGAAACTTCCATTCTATTAGTAAAAGGAAGACAAGGGAAACAATTATTAGAATAAAACAATATTGGATAAATGCTAATGTAAGCCTCCACCATGGTTATTCACTACAGGAAAATCGTCAATTAACGGCGAATTTTTCCTGCGGCTTTTCGATGGCCTAATTTTTCAGAATAATTACCAGCAGTTTTCCGGCAGCTTCCAGCAGTTTTTTTCTGGCGGAGTTTTCGGTGACTTTCCGGTGGTTCGTAGTAATTTTTGATATTTTCCAGTCTGTTTAATTAAGTATTAATTTTTTTGTTAATTTTAATTAATTATTAATTTAATAACATATTTAATTAATATTAGCTTTAATATTTTATTTTTATTTTTAATTATAATTTTCGTATAATATAAATAAAAAATAATAAGCATTTAAGACATTTCCATCATAGCATAATGGTTGGGCGGACTTAGCAAAATGGAATCGATTCGAATCCCGGGCAGCAGGCGGCAGCGGTCCTGGTGGGCAGCGGGCAAGGCGGGGCTTGGGCAGGCAACGCTGCGCAGGCCTCTTGGCGGGCAGC